TTGTTTTCATGGTCACAACCAGCTCTGTAGCATTTTATAACTACATTGGCAGTGTGCGGGGAGTTGTAGAGGGAAATATTTATCTCATGTGTGGCTGACACAACCTGCCATATTGTTTTAGGAGCCTCCTTGGAATCCCAGCAAGAATGCCCCTGGCACAATTTGTAATCCCAATGTCCTTCTCCATGCCCTGGCTTCATGGCTTAGTCACTTCTGAAGTCTCTTTCTAACTGTCTGTTTCCACATCTGTAAAGTATGAGTTAAATCATCCTAACACTACTCATCTTACAAAGTTTTCTTGCTGATATTAAGAGTGTTGGGAAAGAACTGTATAAATTGTGAACTGCCATGGCGATGTTAGTTGTTACTTTATCAAGAAATAGACACTCTAGAGTGAAGTAGAGAGCAAACAGTTATGATTAGGTCCTCCTCTTCTTGTTCTTTTTTTTTTTTTTATTTACAAAGAAAGGTTTAATTGACTCACAGTTCCGTATGGCTGGGAGGCCTCAGGAAACTTACAATCAAGTCAGGAGGCAAAGGAGAAGAAGGCACCTTCTTCACAAGGCAACAGGAGAGAGAGAGCGCTTCTTCTTTTTTGTCATAAAATCTACAGAAGTGCTTATACTTCAGGGCAAGGGCAGGCATGGAGAAGAAAGGACATTGCTTCACCCCAGCCCTCACTGACAAGTTTGCTAGGGGGCTTCACTTTGTCCCAGTGTAGGGGCAGGGCTCTGGCCACTACCCATTCAGAAGGCCTGGGCTGCATTGCTAGTTCCCCACTAACTCTGTGTGACCTTGGACAAAGCTGGGCCTGTGTCAAAGATTATGACCCTGGGCTCTCAAACTAGAGGATCTAAATATGAATCCTGGCTCTGCTAGAGCAATTAGTGATGTAACCATGGATGGGTCAGTTAACCTTCCCGTGGCTTAGTTTGCTCATCTGCAAAATAGGGATCATAACAGTATCAATACCATGGGGTTGTTGGACAGATTGAATCAGTTAATGCAGGGCAAGTACTTAGCATGACACCTATCCACTATCATTTCCTTGGGTAAGAGCTGTCTGTGAGTGGGTGTGACAATGTGTGAAACCTTTTCTCTGCAATCTCAGTTAAGAAATTGCAGAATTTCTTCAATCCAGAATTTGAAGTTCAGGGTCTAAACGGGCGGTTGTCTTTTCCCAGTTCCATCCTATCCCACCTTGCTCTTCCTCCTGCCCACAGGAGCTGTTGTCCTTGATTAGGCTGGAAGAATTGGTGGACCCTAGGAGATCTTTAAGAGAAGGAGAATAGAGGACAGGGAATGTCTTTGAAAATCCTAGAGGGACACAGAGGCTGAGAGGCAGGTAGTCCTACAGGGTCTTCTGAATGGGACAAAGAGGACCTTGGTCTTCATAGGCCAATTCTGGTCAATTTCCCCCATGAACAGATGAGGAAACAGGCCCAGGAATATCCAAGGTCTCACATTTCCCATCCATCAAGTCCTGTTGATTCTGTTGTGTTCATGTCTTTCAAAGAGAGATACAGTTTAGGGAAAGAAAGAAGGATCAACTGTGTCTGATACCATTGAGAGCTTAAGTAAAGGGTTCTTTTACATCATATCATTTATCCCAATTTGTAATTCAGTATAATTTGTGTGGCTGTTTGCTATCTCTTTCTCCTATTAGAGAGCTGGCTTCATAAGGGCAAGGATTCTGATTCTTTAATATTTAGTGCTTGCCACATGCCCTGAACACAGCAAGTACACAGGCTAATGAACATACAGTGGCTTCGAAGTAAGGCACCTACCTTATCCCATACCTAGAGTACATGTCCATGGACCTGTCACTCTCCTCAACACCACCCCCAAGCATGAGGCCCAAAAGCATTAGCTACTCCCCTTCTCCAGCCACCAAAACTAAAAGGCCAGGTGTGGTGGCTCACATCTGAAATACCAGAACTTTAGGAGACAGCAGCAGGAGGATCACTTGAGGCTGGGAATTTGAGAGCCTGGGCAACATAGCTAGACCCCATCTGTACTACAAATTAGCTGGGCATGGTCGCAAGCCTGTAGTACCAGCTACCAAGGAGGCTGAGGTAGGAGGATCACTTGAATCAGGAGGTGGAAGCAACAGTGAGCTATAACCACAACACTGAACTCCAGCGTGAGCAACAGAGTGAGACCCTGCCTCAAAACAATTTTAAAAATAAATAAATAAAAACAAAATTTAGATACCACCTGGTCACCCTGACCTGCAAAATCAAGTTTTCCACTACTGAGAAGAATGGGGACTTGAGAGCTGAGTTACAGAGAAATAATCTTCCCCTTCTTTTTTTTTTTTTTGTTTGTTTACATCCTCAAGATCATGACCTGTGAAATTTGAATCTAATACACAAATCATTTCAGAGCAGTGTTGCCTCCCCTTACCACCAGCAATTCATTTGGCCACTGGAAGTCAGGACAAGCTTCCCAGAAGAGAGGTACCACTTGGACTACCAATATAAAAGGATGAAAATATCAGAGTGATGGTGTTCCTTGCATCACTGAGTCCCTGGACAGCCTGTCCACTGATGATGATATCTGAGCCTAGTGCTTTTCTGAATGTTGAGATTTAACTTTGACCCAATGAAACTAGACCAAGAAAGAAGAAAAGTCTGTCATTGACAAGGACATTATATTTTTCATAGTTTTGTGATTATTTTTCCTTAGCTGTACTATAATTATCTGCTTATTTGTCTCTTCTCCATGTGCTTAGGGTACAAAGTTGACCAAGACCAAGAATAATGTCTGGGAGCACGGTACTGAGAGAACAGCTTTAAAAAACATGATAAATGCTTTAATACAGGAAATGAGTAGGGGAGAGGCATGTGGTGGTTTCGTGTTCTTCAAATATATAGTATCTTCCTTGACACATTCACTGCAGCTCTCAGTAGGCAAGTCCCTACATGTTAGAAGATGTTACCTTCTGTGGAATTAAGTGGCAGAACATACCTTCAATTATTTTCCTTTGCAGAACAACACCAATTGCATTAGTTAGGACACAGTGCTGGATGCATTCGAGTTCCAAGCAATGATTAGTCTATCACCGTTGGTATAGATTTCAAACAGTCAGACAACCTCCTGAAGTGTGTAAGGCAGGTAAATCTTCATCTTAGAATAAAAATCATCTTAGCCAAGTATGTGTTTTAGAGAGGAAAGAAGAAAACATATTCATTTCCATAAGAGTTTTGTTTCTAAAAAAAAAAACAAATAGGAAAGGCTCTGGGTTTAGGTGAGCTAATGAAGTTGTTGATAGTCATCAGATGACACTGGAATCTTTACTTCTCTGAGTGTGTTTGTGCACCTCTCAGTGTGGGAACATAGAGAGGGAGATCCTCCAGCGATACCACTGATATGGTCAGAAACTACATCTTTCTTTCTCCCTACTGAGATGAGATGGAGTCCTTTGTTCCAGAAGACCACAGGGGGGCCGCTGGGAGTAACCCTTGAGACAGGAACATGAATCTTGACCAATATGTGATTGCAGCCTTGAGTCTCACTATTTCCTATAGTGACACTTAGCAGGGAATGGCAGGTGCACCTGCCAGAGCAGCAGAGGACCTTCTATCTCCCTTCCTGTTAGCTTTTTATAATGTTTTATTGTGATCAGTAGCATTTGGGAAGCTACTTACAGTCACTGAGCCTCAGTTTCTACATCTGTAAACTGGGGATAGTAGCATGGTCCTATTTAATGTGCTCAGCAAAGCCACTGAAAGGAGACAGATATGTATCCGAATTCTCTGAACTTTTATCCTACTTATGGGGATTGTCAATCACCTTCCCATGTCTGTCCTGTGTTGGTTTGACACTTGTCACTTCTTAGGTACCTCTCTGTAGGGCTCCTTTATTCCAGGGATTCCAGAGTTACAGCACATGACTCCATCCAAGAACGTTTATGTGTCTCCTGCTTCACTAGGCAGGAGGTGTCACACCCAAGGAAGATGTGGCTCTCAGCACACGCCTGGCACAACACTGCACATGATATTCATGCACTTGGCCTTGAATCTGATATGGAATTTGCATGATGTTCACCCACTCATCCCAGGTGCCATGCAGCCCTGGAGGCTTAGGGGCCACAGGGATGGGAAAAGCTGCCTTTCTGGGGTGAGTATCAGTTTCTGCAGGAGAGCTGAGTGTGAGAAAGAATAAAGAGAGAAGGAAGTGCACAAGCACAGCTTAAACATCGTCTGTTTCTACTGAGTTATAAGAACTCTGAGATTTTATTTATTTGTCATGTAATCTACCATTCCTCAAGCCAAGCAGACACAGAACCTGGGTCTGAGTGATGATAATGAGCTGATATGATTTTCACGCTCTCATCACTGAGATCTCTCCCATCAGGAATGGGTCACGGGGCTCACAAGTGGCCTGTAATAGCAACTGCTATTACATCTCTAGCAGCTCCTGGGGCCTGCTCTCCTCCCTTTAGAAAATCCTCCACTTGTCAAAAAGGAAGCCATTTGCTTTGAATTCCAATTCCACCCCCAAGAAGCTGGGACCATCTTATTGGAGTCCTTAACGCTGTATGACCTGCAGTGACCGCTGCCCCATCATTGCTGGCTGAGGTGGTTGGGGTCCACTTGGTCATCTGGACAGCTGTTCTCTTCTCTCCTTTCTCTCCTACCATTTCCAGACATGCAGTATTTCCAGAGAGAAAGGGCCAGTCTTTGGGAAAGAACCTGTCTAACTTGCTGTCTACGGCAGGACTTTTGAAAGGTTCACAGGAAGCAGCACAAATTGATACTACTCCACGAAGCCATCAGCTCCACCTCATCCATGCCCTGTCTTTTTTAGGGGTCCTCTTGCCAACAGAATCACAGTAGACCTGCCTGAAAGTGCAGAGACGGCAGCTGAGGCACAGCCAAGAGCTCTGGCTGTATTAATGACCTAAGAAGATGGAGTAGTCACCAGAATGTCAGAGGAAGTGACACGCACAGGCCCAGCAAGCTCAGCTAAGTCAACTCCATCAGCCTTTCTGGTCACTGTGTGTACAGCACCCTGATAGGGACCAGAGCCATGACAGTGAATAAGACGAGACTATGCCCTTGAGGAACTCACCTCTGCTAAGGGAAAAGGGTGTGGAAACACACAATGGTGGCAAAGAGAAAAGAGGACAATAGGACTGCATGAAGGGGATGGAAAGTACCCAGGGGAGGAAACAGTTAAATGTGTGTGAGGAGGTTGGTGAGGAAAGACTCTAAGAGAAGGCTCTGTCTGGCTGGGTTTGGAAGGATGTGTATGAGTCTTCTAGGAGGCACAGGCACACACCAGGCATAGATAAAGATCTGCAGGCATGGCTTGTTGGGATGAATTTCAAGGATTCTGGAATGAGGACAGCCATGGAGACAAGGGCAGGAGAGAGGAGATTTAATAAATTTTATGCCAATGGCTCCACTTGAGTTTCTGATAAGAATCCAGGACCCTTGGACTCCCCAGTAACATTGATTGAGTTGTTTATGATTCCTCATAGAATATGAACTCAAAGGAGGTCAGTGAGGGGTGTGTGTGTGTGATTCTTTGCCAACTGCCAAGGTGGAGAAGCCTCTTCCAACTGCAAGTGGAGCACAGTTGACCCTGCTACTGGCTGCCACCCCAGCCCTGCCTCTTTCTCCAGCATATAAACAATCCAGGAGCCTCAGTGAATCACTGCTGTGCAGGGAAGGAAAGCTCCACGCACACAGCCCAGCAGGAAAGCTCCACGCACTCAGCCCAGCAAACAGCAGCACACAGCTGAAAGGAAGACTCAGAGGAGAGAGATAAGGAAGGAAAGTAGTGATGGATCTCATCCCAGACTTGGCCGTGGAAACCTGGCTTCTCCTGGCTGTCAGCCTGATACTCCTCTATCTGTGAGTAACTGTCCAGGCTCCTCTTCTCTGTGTCCTTGGACTTGGGCTGCTAATCAGGCCTCTCTTTCCCTTCTCTGTTTTGAAGATCAAAAAGGATGTTCAGGTCGGGCGCAGTGGCTCACACTTGTCATCCCAGCCCTTTGGGAGGCCGAGGCAGGTGGACTGCCTGAGGTCAGGAGTTCAAGAGCAGCCTGGCTAACATGGTGAAACCCCATCTCTACTAAAATTACAAAAATTACCTGGGCTTAGTGGTAGTCCCAGCTACTTGGGAGGGTGAGGCAGGAGAATCACTTGAACCTGGGAGGTGGAGGTTGCAGTGAACTGAGATCATGCCACTGAACTCCAGCTGGGGTAACAGAGTGAGACTCCATCTCAAAAAAGAAAAAGAAGATTTTCAAGGAGAAGTAGCTTAAGTGTTGGATGCTACAAACACAGAGAGGTTATGATGGATCTTTGGCAGATCTATAAAGGAATAAATAAGCCTCTCCCCCATCCATCTCTAGTGTCAAGAAGGGTTTAGGGACAGCATTGATTGAGGATAATCTAATTAACAGTGGTTTGGACCCAGCTTACTAAACCAGAATTTGGATTTTACATTTTTCCCTTTAACTTGCAGGAGAAGAGGATGAATCTTCTCACCGGTGGGATCCTGACATGCTAGGGCAGGTGCAGGGAACAGCCACTCCCACTGTGTTTGCAGTGGAGGCTTCCTGCCTGTCACATTTTACTTCTAACTCAATTTCACTGTTATTAAGAGTAGGGAATCATGGTGATATGAAAATAGAAAATACAAACCTCATTTTAATTCTTTCACCAAAAGATTAGGAATTCGGTAAGTTGTGGTAACATGGTTTCCTCCTGCTGGCATTTTAACAGGAATTGATATGACTTAAATTCATCCTTTTTAAAGCCAGACTTTTTTGGAGATACACTATTTCCAGCATATTCCTCCTGGGTGATAAAAGAGAGCTGTTAGTTCAGTATTTGTGACAATAAATGTGTGTAAAATAACCTCACCTTTCCAGAATAATGTCAGGAATATGACTCTAACACACAAATGTATATCTCTATGACAAGATTGCATATGTCTTTTTAAAAATACCTTCCTGTCAGTTTATTTTAATACCCCCATTTCAAATAAGCCTGCTTAGCAGGTTATCTTAAACTCTCAGGACAAGGAAGTAAGCAAGACTGTGAACCAGTGAGGACAGCAAAAGCATCCAGGTAGGATCAAGATGAAGTGAGAAAATATTCCTCATCCCTCAGGGTAGAACTCTAAAGAGATATTCATGGTTCCTGCCCCCCAGTGGAGGTCACTCGAAGAGCAAACATGTTGACATCTCATCTGCTTCAATCCTGGACACAGGGGCACGATTGGTGTCACTCTGTGTGTGGTCTGCCATGTTGTGGGCCTGTCACTTCAGATTCTGGCAGTCAGGCAGACAATACCTGAGCCTGAGACGAGGCTGGTACAGCCCAGTTATTCAGAAGCTATAGGGTAGACCATACCCTTCTTAGGCCTATACAATTACATGCAATAGATGACTGGCTTTTCTGTTAGCCTCTTCATTGTAAATGAAAGCAGCATTACTCTATCAAACAGAGGGAAGCTGTAAAGAAACTAAACAGTTTGCCCAGGCCAGCCTCTGCCTTGACATGGTACCATGTGAGTCTAGACACTCGCCTAGATCTTTCCTCGGGGGCCAGTGCTGCCGACATATTAACTCAATAGTTTGTCCTGGCCTGAAAGATCATGTAACATGTAGAAAGTTTAGAAGCAGAGATTAGTGTCATTGATTTGCCATGGCTGTGACAACAAAGGAAGGAACTGGAGTGGGAAAACCCAAGGCCACCCTGGTTTTGGTAGATGGTGCACACACTTCCACCAACTGTTCTGAGGCAAGGATCCAAATGCACTATTGAGCCTGGCTATGCTGCCTGTGCTGGGTCCTCCAAGCACAAGCCTCCAGGCCATTTCTCAGTTGTACTTTACCATATATTATCCGAGTCACTGGATTTGTACAGAATGCTTAGAACCTATACTGCCTTACAGGAAACCCTTTAAAGAAGAGAAAACAAGGTTTTAATTCAACTGTCTGGAATATTTTATGGTTATTTATGTGGAATACTGCATCTTTTCCTATCAACAGGAAGGTACGTGAACATTAGAAGGTGCCTGTCTTTCAGCACATACGTCTATTTATATACTCTATACTTTTCAGCCACATTTTCCTAATTTGCCTCTCTGGGGTCAAGCTTGTGGGATTAGGAGATTCATGGTTGAATTGATGGCTGGTGACCTCTTCCATCAGCCTTTCTTCTTCCTCCAGTCTTCCACCCCTCAGTAACATCAGACTGGGAAGGTCTTCAGACATCCAGAATCCCCAGTTGGGGGAGTCCATATATGACCCATCAAAGATGAGTTGCAAGCAGGCCTGCCATAGGGAGCAGCAGCCTTAATGGGTTTTCCTACAGAGATAGTTCATGTGCAGAGGCAATAAACTGCTTTGTAATTGATCACCTTGGAAAAAATGAGCATGTCTGGCTGTATTAGTCTTTTCTTCCATTGCTGTAAAGAAATATCTCAGGGTGGATAATTTATAAAGAAAAGAGATTTAATTGGCTCATGGTTCTGCAGGCTGTTCAGGAAGCATAGTGACTTCTGCCTCTAGGGAGGCCTCAGGAAATTTACAATCATGGCAAAAGGTGAAAGAGAAGCAATCAGATCTTACATGACTGGAGCAGAAGCAAGAGAGGGTGGGGAGGAGGTGCCACACACTTTTAAACCACCAGATCTCATAAAAACTCATTGTCACGAGGACAACACCCAAGGGGGATTGTGTAAAACCATGAAAAACTGTCTCTAAGATACAATCACCTCCTATCAGGCCCCACATCCAGCATTGGGGATTACATTTCAACATGAGATTTGGGTAGGGGCACAGATTAAGACCATATCACTGGCACTGTGCTTATCAGGTGAATAGCACCAGTTGGAAGGCTAGATTTCACAAGAGGAGGAATGTCCTGGTTCTTAGTTGTGATTCTTTTGCACACTATCATTCAGGGAAATATGAGTCAATCATTCTCCAAATAGCTCAAATCAACCAGAGACTGAGGTGTAGCTGAAAGGTGCTCACATTTCTACGAGGCCAATGGAAGCCCGGAGCACAGTTGTCAATCTATAGAAATAAGGACTCTGTGACTCCTCCAAGACCTCTCTGTGAATGACGGTTTAAGAAAGGCCAGATCCTAGAACAGGGTCAGAGGTTAGAGCAAAGGGAGAGCATAAAAGCCTCTGAGCAAACTCTAAAGACAGGGTCACCATAGGCTCTCAGTGACCTTCTGTGATTGAGTGGATGCAGTGACGCAAAATCTCATCATCACTGCAGGAAACAAACAAAATAAATTGTCACCCTTTCTACCTAGGATGAGAATCCCAAAATCAGAGAAGAATCCACTTACTAAAAAGATATAAGGGAAAGAAGTGCCCTGGAAGAATTCGTGCCTGAATCTCTCAGTATCATTCACATTTGAGGACATTTATCAAGTATTCATTACAGGATTGGGACCATGAAGACTTCTGCTGCTTTGAGCTAATCATTGTGACTTTTTGGGGTCTCACAGTGGAGGCACCAAATGACCTGATGAACAAATATAATCATTGCCATCGGAGTTACTGTTATTTTTAATTGCCTTAATGTTACCTCCTCTTGAGCATTCCAGTTCCTCTGTCAGTGACTCACCAGTCCCTATATCTATAAAGTCACAATCCCTGTGACCTGATTTCTGTTTCACTTTGTAGATATGGAACCCATTCACATGGACTTTTTAAGAAGCTTGGAATTCCAGGACCCACACCTCTGCCTTTTTTCGGAAATGTTTTGTCTTTCCGTAAGGTGAGTGTTTTTGAGCTTCCTCTTTCGCGTCTTACGATTGCAAAGAGCAGCTTACTTCCATGAGTAAAAGTGCTTCTCCTCAGAAGGAAGGTCTGAGGTTTTATACTTTCAGAAACAGTGTGTAGGCATCACCCAGAGCACAGCAAAGTTTACCCTGGGGCTCTCTTGCTAACTCTCAGGAGCCTCAAGTTTGCCACAGTTGAACAGCCCAAATCTCAGGTAGATCAGCAACTTGATGTGAAGACATTGTGAGCACCATAAAGAGCATTTCCTTTTTGCTCGATGTAGGTTCCCAGGAAGGTACAGTCATACTTAGTATTAAAAGTAGGAACAGGAGCCCCTGATTGTGGCTTGTTATCTGTGGACATGAGAGTCAAACTTTCCTCTCTGTAGCAGTAGCTCATGAGTAGCCTTTTTTCCCTTCCTCCTGCACAGCTTTGAAACTCAGTTTATTATTATTAGGGAAACCAAGTATTTACCATTGGGTCATTTGCACCTGCTTGAAGCCTCTCCAAAAAATGCTAAATTTCCTGAGGATATTTCCACGGCTCTACCACGGCTCTTACTCCCCATGACATCTTTTGCCACTTTGAGATACAGAACAAAGGTGTTCTGCTTTACTTCTTTTCCTTTGAAGGTTGCATCTTGTGGGTGAGTCTGAGCAGGAAGTGGATGTAACTGAGATGAGAGAGTGGTTGTCTATTAACCTCAGATATTTAAGCACAATATGAATTTGTGGGTTTATTTTTTACACAAAGTCAGAAACACATGCAAAATCGCTAGAAAGGGGATGATTCGACAAAATTATTAAATATTTAATTTCACTAAATAGAATGTCGTATGTGCCACACGGACTGTGAAATTTGGCTGAGCCTTTGTGCCTAACCTTATCTGATCCTCTGTTCAGGGCCTGGTCCCTGGATGGAAAATTATGAGCTCATCTCCACAGGGCCAGCAACAGCAGTCAGCTCTCTGGCTTAGCCTCTCTCTCCTGCAAACTGAGGCTTGTTTCTCAGATTCTAGTTCTCCCAAGTGAGGGCTTTGTTGTCTAATTACTGCCCAGGAATTTCATATTTTTTCCCCCTGCAAAAGCAATAATTTCCCTACTTTCACACACATCCGTGTGAGGAGGCCAGCAAACAGGCTTTGTGTAAAGGTTTTTAATTACTTGGGTGCAGACCGACTGAGTCTGAAAAAGGAGTCAGCGAGGGGAGATAGGAGTGGGGCAGTTTTATAGGACTGGGGTAAGCAGTGGAAAGTTACAGTTAAAGGTGGTTATCCATTGTCAGCAGAGGAGGGGGCCACAAGGCACATGGTGGGGAGATCATAGGACTCATTGTCCAGAAGAAGAACGTCATGAGGTCGATCGATCGATTAGTTGGGGCAGGGCAGGAACAAGTCATAATGGAATGTTGTAAGGTTGATCAATCAGTTAAGACAGGAGCTGGCTGTTTCACTTCTTTTGTAGTTTTTGGTTGCCTCAGGTCATCTGTATATATACATGCAGATTTGGGCTCAGAGGCGTGAAACCCACCACTTTCCCCATGTCAACTCTTTAGTAGATGGATCCACAAGATACACGTTCCTCAGACCTTCTTTTCAATAATTAAAACTTCACCCTTGAAATGTAGAAAGAGGAAGGTTTACTTTTAAGTTTCAGTGCAAACTCCAAGCAAGTGTCATAATTTGCTGTGTCCAATGTGTAGAGGTGACATTTTCTCAGAACTTCCATGTTAAGCTGCAAAATCGGAAAGTGAGTCCACTTTGTCATTCTGTCACTCACTCATTTCTCACTCAACAAATATGCCTCATATTTATCTAAATCCGCTAGACTAAAAGAGGTCCCTGGTGTCTGTAACTTTCTAATTCTGCTAGAATTCCAGAGCGAGCTCATGAAATAAATGAAAAGGATGAAGAACAAAGAGATAAAAGAGTGCACATTCCCTTCTGATGCTCACTCACTTTCCCTCAGCCTTAGTTTCCCCACATGCCCCTGGAGGTGATCATTCAGGGATTTATGAGATTTTAGAGACAACACATGAAAAAGCAAAGAGACATCAGAAAGACAAGGAGTTACTTAGTATTTATACATCAGGATAAGTCATTCAGTATCCACGACAGTTAAAGAAAATTCAAGAGTGATTTTATATTTCCCTTTTCAAATACCTCCTGTCTTTTCTCTCCTTTCTCTTGTGATGTCTCTAAATAAGCTTCCTCTAACTGTCAGCAAGTCTAATTTCATTGGATTTGACTGTTTTCAGCCCCAATCAGAGGCAGGGTTAAGTACATTTAAAATAATAATCAAATATTATTTTGTTTCTCCTCCCAGGGCCTTTGGACGTTTGACATGGAATGTTATAAAAAGTACAGAAAAGTCTGGGGGTGAGTATTCTGGAAGCTTCCATTGGATAGACTTGTTTCTATGAGTTTACCCCACCGCACAGAGGATAGTCTCGGCCCAGAGCTTCTTGGGATGAAACTCTTGCCAACCTAACTACAAACAGAGAGGTTCTCTGAAAGAAGAAGATATGTATTTGGGGGTAGAGTATTAGAATGGGAATCTATGTGCCATTATAAGCTATGTGCAAATTCAAGGAGGGAAAGGAAGACAAAGATGTTCCAAGGAAAATATGAGGAGTACTTCATATGGGTTTTGAAATAGTTTTCCTTCACTACAAAGATCAGTAACAAGGGTGATGCCACACCAAGGTTGGACAGGTAGTTGCTGGGCAGGTGTCTTTGCAGAAATATTTTTGTGTAAGGTTGGGATGGGCTTTCTGCAGGCTTGTGGTTTCACAGTCTTTTGTGATAGTTTTGTTATCAGGCATACAAGAATGTGAATCCTCTCTTCATAGCCTTCTGTGATTTATTTGTCAGGGTTTTTAATCACACACATAGGCACACGGACACACTGACACACACACACACACACAAACACGTGCCATAATTTTGGTTCTCACAACGTTCACACTCGCTATTGTAAAACTTTTTGAGGCTTGTCCTACCAAGGATCCCCTGTGTCACCAGGTGTTGAGGTCTTTGGTCTAAACTAGGCTGGGAGCATTGTGGTTACCACTTTTCCCCAGACTTTGGTGGCCCAGGGACTCCCAGCATCACGTTCTGTCCAGTGTCTGCCTATTCTCCTCTTCTTTTTTTCTTCCCTTGGTGCCCTTTTATCGCATGCATCGTCTCAGACGCTTCTAATATGTGCTCATATTAGCAGGGCATCATCTCCTTCCCACATCGATTCACTTTCAATTAAAAGCCAAAACTCTTCATTTATACTTTGGATTTAACATGCTTTTGGAAGAAGGGTTGAGAGACATAGAGAAACAGATTGGGAAACCATTTATGCTCTGCTGTTTGTTTTTTTTTTTAACTTTCTGTGTAATTGTGGAATTTTTCATTCCGTTTTATTATTAACTTTAAGCCAAGACTTTTTAATAGAAGGATATAAGTATATCTTTGTCTATACCTTTCTGCTGAATATGAAGAAATGCTGAATATTCTTAAACCATTGTGTTCCCTTGTGAGCTGACGGACTGTGATTTTATAAGGTGGCCTCAGCCAACTGCAGCCACTGTCAGAGGGGCTAGAGGTTTGGCAAGAGCAGTGGAAGAGGTGCAGTGGTGTGTTGGTTAACTAGAAGCAAGAGGCAGAAGGCTTTGCCTCTTTGTACTCCATCTTCTCTAATCTAGTCCTCAGAAACCACAGTGCTGCCTGAAGGGTGCTGTGGACCTGGCATGGCCCACACAAGGAACACAACTGAGTAGAAAGAACACACAGCTCTGGATGTCCACGGGCCCCACAGCAACTGCCCTGGAAACACTTAGTCCTTGTGAGCATTTGATGATTTACTTGCCTTCGTTTTTCCATGGACCTAATATTCTTTTTAAAAGTGAAATATTTTAAACATATGAAACATTGTGGAGAATGGCATGGAAAATACCCACACATGCACCACCCAGCTTAACAAATGCTCTCCTGTCATTTCTAACCATGATCTCTTTGAAGAGCTCTTTTGTCTTTCAATGTCTCCTCCCTGTTTGGCCCACATTACCCTTCATCGTATGAAGACTTGGGTGGCTCCCATGTCAGACTCTTGCTGTGTGTTATACCTAATGAACTAGAACCTAAGATTACTGTGTATTGTACATTTAGGGTATTATGTAATGTCAGGATTAAAGTCTGGCTTCCTGGGTTGGGCTCCAGCTGTAGAATAAGGCTGTTGATGTTTAATCAACTCTGTTTTTTCCACACAGTTTTTATGACTGTCTACAGCCTGTGCTGGCTATCACAGATCCCAACATGATCAAAACAGTGCTAGTGAAAGAATGTTATTCTGTCTTCACAAACCGGAGGGTAAGCATCCAGTTTTTGAAATTAAAATACTCATTGATTGATTAAATTTTATTTTAAAATTCTTATATATTCATAGACATTTGCCTAAAAAGTGTGCAGGAAGATTCCAGGTACACTTTATCCTACCCAACCCCCTCCCCAGTACTGAAACATCTTGCAATCTTGCATAACTATAAATACAGCATATTCATGTTATGATATTTACAGAAATTGACATTGATACAGTTCACAGGCTTATTCAGATTTCACACCAGTTTTATGTGTCCCTCATTTCTGTGTGTAGTTTTCTGTTTTTGTTTGTTGTTTTTTTCTTTGTTTGTTTTTTTTTTGAGAGGGTTGGCTCTGTCACCCAGACTGGAGTGCAGTGGCGCGGTCTTGGCTCACTGCAACCTCCGCCTCCCGGGTTTACGCCCAGTTCCTGCCTCAGCCCCACCATGCCCGTAATTTTTGTATTTTTAGTAGAGATGAGGTTTGCTGTATTGGCCAGGCTGGTCTTGAGTGTGTGGGTAGTTCTGTGCCAAATTTATCACATTTGTAGATTTGTGCAATAGCCAGTATGATCAAGATGCAGACCCATTCCATCCCATATGGCTCCCTGCTGCTGTCGTGCAGTCACAAGAAAGCATATTCATGTTATGATAGTACAGGAAATTGACATTGATACAGTTCACAGAGCTTATTCAGATTTCACCAGTTTTATGTGTCCCTCATTTCTGTGTGTAGTTTTCTGTTTTTGTTTGTTGTTTTTTTCTTTGTTTGTTTTTTGAGAGGGAGTTTCGCTCTGTCACCCAGACTGGAGTGCAGTGGCGCGGTCTTGGCTCACTGCAACCTCCGCCTCCCGGGTTTACGCCAGTTTCCTGCCTCAGCCCCACCATGCCCCGCTAATTTTTGTATTTTTAGTAGAGATGAGGTTTCACTGTATTGGCCAGGCTGGTCTTGAGTGTGTGGGTAGTTCTATGCAAATTTATCACATTTGTAGATTTGTGCAATGACCAGTATGATCAAGATGCAGACCCATTCCATCTCCATATGGCTCCCTGCTGCTATCGTACAGTCACAAGTCTTCTTCTCTGAGAGAGTCTTTATCAGTGAAAATGTCTTTCTATTTTGAGGAGGCCAATGTATTAATATTTTTTTTATGGATTGTGCTTTTGGTGTCAAGTCTGAAAGTTCTTTGCCTAGCCCTCCTTCCTATATTGCCAATTTTTCTAAAAGTCATAAAGTTTCATGCTTTACTAAATGTAACTCTATTACCTATTTTGTGTTATTTTTTGCGTAAGGTATGAGATTTAGATCAAGGTTCATTTTTTGTGGCTTATGGCTGTCCAGTTGCTCCAATGTCATTTTTGGAAAGTTGGGCATATTGTTAAAAATCAAGTGGGCATGTTTCTTTGCATCTGTCATTTGCTATTCTGTCCCACTGATCACTGTGTTTATTCTTCCACCAATAACAAACTGGTGACTCTACTAGCTGTACAGTAACTCTTAACATCATGTAGAGTGATTCTTCCCACTTTTATTGACTTATTTTTTCAGATCTGTTTTAGCTCTTCCTGGTCCTCTGCTTTTCCATAAAAAATCAGAATGAGTTTCTCAGTGTCTACAAATAAGCATGCTGTTATTTTGACAAGAATTGAATTAAACGTACAGATCAATTTAGGGAAAGTCTTATCTTTACCATGTTTGGTCTTTCAATTCATGAACTTAGTATGCCTCTCCATTTCCTTAGATTTTCTCCGATTGCTTTTTAACAATTTGTAGTTTTCAGCATAGAGATCCTGTACATGTTTTGTTGGATTTACAGCTAAAGAATTTCATTTTTGTTTGAGTGACTGTAAATGATATTATATTTTTCTTGTGTTTTCAGATATTGATTGTTGGTACATAGAAACGTGCTTGGATTTTGTTTGTTGATCTTGTATCACAGAACGTTGCAGAACTCACTTAGTATTTCTAGAAATCTTTTTGTATATTCCTTGAGATTTTATACATTGACAATTATGTCACTTGAAAATAGAGGCAATTCTTTCATTTCCTTTCCAATCTGTATGCCTTTTAATTCTTTTTCCTTGTCTACTGCACTAGGACTTCCCAGTATAATGTCAAGTAAATGTGGTGAATTTTTCAATTGTTCCTAATATTAGGAGGGAGGCATTCAGTCTTTCATCAATAAGCATGATTTAGATGAAGTGGGTTTTTTTTTTTTTTGTAGACTCTCTTTATCAAATTGAGAAACTTTCCCTAGTTTGCTGAATTTTTAACATAAAAGAGGGCTGTAAGTACTCATTATAAAACAAAATATGGTTATGGAAGATGAAAGAAAGTTTCAAGCATGTTGGCTTGATAGGACAGTTCCAAGTTGGCAAAAATAATTATCTCTTCCTTTTTTTTTTCTATCCATGGAATAAAAAATTAAGAGAAAAGAATGTTCATAGAATCACATTATTTCTTCAAAATACATTCCTAGTTTTAAAACTATTACCTACCATTTTTTTAAAACCACCACATCGAGGCACCTCTTTTTCATGTTGCCCATGGTTTAGGTGAACATAAAGACAGAGCTTGTCTGAGGCAACATACAGTACACCAAAGCCACCTGCCTCTCTGTCACCACTCTCTCTCTCTCTCTCTACACTGCACAAGTGCTAGGTGTTGATCCTGACTATTCCACTGGAAGAACAGGTTCCCTATCATGTGGAGAATTTGCATGTAAAAGGAGACTGGGAAATACAGGCTGGAGACCACATCAGGTGGCTGGGTCTCCCGAACACTGCCCCCCACACACACACAAAAATATATCCCAGGACACTGGGCATCTGGGATAAATCTGTATTGAGCATCTAGCATAGGGCCTGTCACCTAGTAGATGGTCACTAAATATTTGTTAAATATGTGATGCCTGTTTAACATTTTCTACAACCATGGAGATCTCCACAACTGACACAGGACAAAATGTTTCTGCTTTGAACTCTAGCCTTTAGGTCCAGTGGGATTTATGAAAAGTGCCCTCTCTAGAGCTCAGGATGAAGAATGGAAGAGAATACGATCATTGCTCTCTCCAACCTTCACCAGCGGAAAACTCAAGGAGGTATGAAAATAGCATGAGTTTTAATTAGAAACTTAAAGAATGAATCAGGTGGGGACAGGTAAAAAGTAAGACCACAGTCCCTTTCCAAGGGGTAGTCTGCTGAATTTGAGCTTCCTAAAAATGGTCTTTTATCTTTATGTACAGAAAAGACATCACAAAATTCATTATAAAATGTCACGTACTGCTCCGTGCTGGGGAAAGCCACGTTCTTCGTGGACTAGAGTCTGCACATTTTACTATGGGTGGTGTTGTGTTTTGTGCTTAGATGGTCCCTATCATTGCCCAGTATGGAGACGTGCTGGTGAGAAATCTGAGGCGGGAAGCAGAGACAGGCATGCCTGTCACCTTGAAGGAGTAAGTAGAAGCGCAGCCATGGGGTTCTGAGCTGTCATGAACCCCTCAAGCTGCCTGCCATGGAGCTGATATTCCCACTGTTGGGTTATTCCAGTCACCAGACAAAAGGAAGGTTGTGGTATTGCAACTTCAATGGGTCTCCCAAGATAGGCCCACTCCCAAGAGGAGGTGGGGTAGCTGGGGGAAAAAGGTCTTCTCCCATATGCACATGGACCAGGATTTACTTATCCATTAAATTGTCAACATGAATGTTCTGGAAGACTAAATGCATATTTTAGGGGGGGAAATTTGTGATTGCACCAAAGTTTTAAGCATGTATGGAATGATGGAAGGGGAAGGCACTTGGTATCTATTGGTTGGCAGTGAGTACGATGGGAAAGTTATAATGGAGAACTTTGAATAATTTTGACCCTTTCATGGTTTTTCTGAGGATATCAGTAGAATACTAAATATTACACATTCCCAACACTGCTTTTTCCTCCAGTCTTAAAGAGACAAGGTCCTATAAATGCTATAGGCAGGGTAAGCCTATCATTTGCTGTCTACACTGGTATGTGCTTCAATTATGCAGGAACAACAGGTGTAATCTGCGCCTGTCCTGGGCAGACCAGAGATATGTGGTCACTCAGCTATAGGAATTTCCAAATCAATTTTTAGTGATTTTCTTTAAACCAGGACATTGCTGGTCATTATATTTTACTAAAATGATTCTGCCAACAGGGCAATCTCAGCTCACAAGAACTGGGGATAGTGAGACTTTCCAAATCTTGAGCAGGGAGTGTAGAGAATAAGGACGATATTTCTGGGAGCTCAGAACAGGGTGTTGCTGTTTTGTGAAGTGCTGAAGAAGAATCAGCTCTGGGCATAGTCTGTAGTCACGCAATGTCACCTGTCTTGAGCCCCTTAGGAAAAGTGAATTTTTCTCCTCTTGTTCTGCTGAAGCACACTGCTTACCCATCTTGTATCATCCACACTCAACACATGCTACTCCAGTTCTCTGATAGTGGGTCCCTGTCTTCCTATGATGGGCTCCTTGATCTCAGAGGTAAGTATAACTCAGTTCAGAGTCTCCATCACCCCCAATGTAGGGCCAGCTGTGTCACTGGTACCCGATAACCACCATGTGATGGAGTGCAATGGGACATGATCCAGTAGATAGTTCTGAAAGTCTGTGGCTCTTTGTCTGTCTTGACTGGACATGTGGGTTTCCTGTTGCACCTATAGTGGAAGGATGGTAAAGAGGTGCTGATTTTAATTTTCCATATCTTTCTCCACTCAGCGTCTTTGGGGCCTACAGCATGGACGTGATCACTAGCACATCATTTGGAGTGAACATCGACTCTCTCAACAATCCACAAGACCCCTTTGTGGAAAACACCAAGAAGCTTTTAAGATTTAATTCATTAGATCCATTCTTTCTCTCAATAAGTATGTGGACTACTATTTCCTTTTCTCTCTCTCTCGCTCTTAAAAATAACTGCTTTATTGAGATGTAAATCACAATGTAATTCATCCACTTAAAATGTACAGTTTAATGGTTTGTAGTACATTTGAAGATATGTATGACCATCACCATTGTAAACCTTAAAATATTTTTGTCAATCTAGAGACCTCATACATTTTTAGCTATCAACCCCCTGCCACAAACCCTGTTGTCATATGCAACCACAAATCAACTTTCTGCCTCTATAGCTTTGCCTATTCTGGACACTTCATAGAAATGACATTAATTTGTCAGGGTTTTTTTTTTGTTGTTGTTCTCTAGTTCATGGATTTGTACTTTAGTCTGTATTATTTTCTTTCTTCTGCTGGCTTCAGGCTTAGTTTGCCCTTCTTCATTTACTGTGTTGTGGCATGAATGTAGATTATTGATTTGTGATTTTTTGTTCTTGTAAATTTAGACATCACAACTATAAATTTTCCTCTGAGCACTTCTTTGCCAAATACCATCAAATTCTGGCCTATCACACCTTAATTTTTGTTCTGCTCTAAACACTTTCTATTTGCCCTTTTAATTTCTACTTTGACTCATTGGTTACTTAAAAGTTTATTATTTAACTTCCAAATATGTGTGAGTTTCCCAGTTTTCCTTACCTTATTGATTTTAGCTTTATTCTGTGATAGGTGACTGAGATACACTGTGTTATTTCTATCTTGATTACCTGCTATTTCTTGAACAGCATGATTAATTTAAGCAGCAGATTATGATTTGGGTTATCCTAAGAGACTCTCATCCAATAGATAAAGGCAAGGAGATTAGGGCATTGAACTTTGTTTTTTTCATTATTTGAACGATGCAGAAGGGGCTGCTGATCTCACTGATGTAGTGGTGGTCCCTATGCATAGATCTGCCCTTGTTCAGTCACTGGCCTGTGAGAGGGGCAAAAGTCAGAGAAGGAATGGCTTCCAGTTGAGAAACTTGATGTATTTTACTTTTTGATTGGCAGAGAAAATAAGAATTGCTCCAGGTAAATTTTGCACTTTCACAATGATTTCATTTTCTGTTGTGTTTTTTTTTTTCTACAGAAATCTTTCCATTCCTTACCCCAATTTTTGAAGCATTAAATATCACTATGTTTTCAAGAAAAGTTACAAATTTTCTAAGAAAATCTGTAAATAAGATAAAAGAAGATCGCCTCAAAGAGACACAAAAGGTAAAACATGGTGGTAGTTATAGGAGGATGTTTAGTTTTTCATAATTTTTTGTTAATATACATATGATTGGTGCACTTCCCTGTCTTTAGAGAAATATTTTAACATAAAGAGTACTCATGCTTAGAGCAAGATAATTCATTTGGTTGCAGAAAGTGGAGTTTGGGGAAGGAGATATGAGAACGAGTCAGAGATAGCACTTAAAATTTAATATCAGGCATCACAATTAGTATGCCATGGCATAAATATTATTCACATAAAACTTTATCACATCACTTCCCTTCAATAAATTGCCAAAGGATAAACGTTACTGTTTAGATATTTTTTTTCTGGTATTATGCTTTCTCTAGATCATAGATTGGTAAAGAATCGTTTCAAGTACAAGCCTGTTATTTCAAACATTCTCCAATGAAAGGCCCTATCAGGCCACCTGCTGAAGTGTAGTGTGTGTTACATTTGAGCCCTCTCACAGACTCAAGTGAACAGGTGTCTTCTCCGAGAATTGAGGCTGCAAGGCTGGCTAACTCAGCTTTGCCTTCATCAGCCCTAGAGGCCAGCCAAAGGATGTCTGCAGGTCAGGGAGGCAGGAATGGGTAACCCAGGTGTTGCTGAAGATTGTATAGCTTTTGGGAATGTTGGAGTATTTGAAGATGCTCCCACCAAAGCTGCTGATAAGTTCTGGAAATGTCAGGAGAATAATCTTCGTGAACATTGGTGAAGAAGAAGACAGAAGAATAAAACGTCCAGGACTTCTTCATGGGTATGCAGTTAGGACCACGGAAAAGACCAAAAAGCAATTGAACATTTATCCAGACTTGTTTCGGGAAAACATCCTGCTTTCCAAGGATTTAGATGGATATTTTTTTCACTGGTGACTCAGGCAACACCCATCAGATTTCTGGTCTTCAAGGGGCCATATTCTCAGAAGGGAGGTTGAGGACTGCACTTCCGATTAACTTCTGTCTTCATGAGTCACTTTCTGTCAATAAAATTTCTCTTTTTGCTTCTAGCGCCGAGTGGATTTCCTTCAGCTGATGATTGACTCTCAGAATTCGAAAGACACTGAGTCCCACAAAGGTATCCAAAGAGTGCTTCTGGGGGCTCCTGGTGGGGCACTCAGAGGGAGGTCCTTGTTCTGAAAATATACAGGAAGTATTCCAGGAAGATGAGAATTTCTGCCACATAGCAGAATGACACAGGTTTTGGATGTTATAAATGGTAGCTGGAGGCACTTTCTAGAGGCATACAGGCATAGATAGCCATGTTCTAAACTTAAAGGGCAACCCTAAGGAAACCTGGCATGCCAGAAAGAGTCAGTGGTCTGTGGATCACCTACCTGAGATCAAGTAGCAGTTCTCAGCCTCCTCCAGATCCTCAGAATTAAAATTTCTGCCTGGAAATTTATTCGGTTTCTGCAAAAGTAATTCCGAATTTTTGTGATTACTTTTAATGGCAAAAACTGCAATTACTTTTGCAGCAACCTAATGCATCTAACATCCAATCAGGAGGCATGCTGTCCTAATAAGGGTGATTTTAACTGGCATTTTTTGGTGAAAGTGTGTTCACCAGGTTAATCTACTACAAAGTTATTTTTTCCTTTGGAATGGATAAGTAACTTGTGTGGAAAACCTCTGGGATCATGTAAATATCCTCTTTGTCTTCAATCTTTCACCTACTAGTTTTAAAACCCATATTGGATTTTCACTGAAGTCATTATTACTATGACAGTGGCAAAATGATGACCATGTTCAATTTCAAGCCACCAAGATTTGGCAATCATGTCACAAAATTCCTGAATATTTCATCATTGGTTCTAGAGAGCAGGAGTAGGCTGAATTCAGCATACCACTTTAAATATGTTCATGTCTATGTCTACTTCTGTCTGCCTGTCTATCTATCTATCTATCTATCTATCTATCTATCTATCTATCTATATCTATTATCTATCCATCATCTATTTATCTGCTTATTGATTATCTATCATCTATCTATCTATTCATCTATCTATCCCAATACAACTTGCTATGATAAAGGAAATAGCCTATTGTGTTAGTGTTTCATCTAGAAATCACTAGACACATGTAGCTATTGAGCACTGCACATGTGGCTAGTGCCACTGATGAAAAATTTTAAATTGTATTTAAGTTTAATTGAATAACATTTGATTTTAAATAGCCACATGTCGATAGTGGCTACCGTATTGGACAGCAGAGCTCTAAACTTTGAGATTATAGTTCAATTTCGCATCAGTATCATCAGTTTCATGGTAACTGAATACATGTATTAGATAGTTGAATTTACCCACAACTGCATCACAGAAATCTTGACTGGTAAATCACAGCTCTGTCAACATTTCTCACACTCCTTTCATATTGGTTTTGGTAGTGAATTACATTGTTGGAACAGGCACCATATTAATTTCTGTGTTCCAGGTTTCTAAATGTCCTAATCCAGTCTTGATCAAACAGAGCAGTGACGGACCATCCTGAGCTTCTCTCAGGAGAAAAACCAAGAGGGGGGCAAACTTCTAATCACAGGAGCTTATGCTATTTTAATGCCATTCATCAGACTACAGTCAATCACCACTCATCTAGCTTTTTGTCCATCTCCAGTTGCTGTACATCCTGGGATAGTCAATTCTGAGACCTATAGCCTAGATCTATCAGCTGATGCATCTCAAAGATATAATCCATACTTCTCAAGCTGGGCTATGCACACAAATCACCACATCTTGTGAAATTCGATTGTGAATCAGTACTTCAATAGTGGGGTTTGAGATTTTGCATTTCTGTTTTTGTTGCTGTTGTTGTTTTGTTTTGAGACAGTTTTCGCTCTTGTTGCCCAGGCTGGAGTGCAATGGCACAATCTTGGCTCACCACAACCTCAGCCTCCCAGATTCAAGTGATTCTTCTGCCTCAGTCTCCCGAGTAGCTGGGATTACAGGCATGTGCCACCACGCCTGGGTAATTTTGTATTTTAGTAGAGGTGGGGTTTCTCCATGTTGGTTAGGCTGGTCTTGAACTCCTGACCTCAGGTGATCCATCCGCCTTGGCCTCCCAAAGTGCTCAGATTACAGGTGTGTACCACCACACCCAGCCTTTGCATTTCTAACTAGCCCCCAGATGTTTATGACCCATGGACCACACTTTGAGTAGCAAGAGGTGGTCTGTATTCCAATATTGGTCTCTTAAGTTTCCTCAAACATATCTACAGGAAATGTCCTTTAATTTTCCATACATTTAACCATTAATGTTGCAATTTTTCTCAAAGTTTGTCAAGATATATTTTGGCTAAAATAAATTACATTTTTCTTGGGAGAGAAGACTACCCCATATTAATTTACAATAAAGTACTTTTAGGATCATTCAAGGAGCACACCCATAACACTGAGTATGCTATGAAGAAACGCTCTCTCTGGAAATTACCCAGCTGTGCAGGTGTCAGGGATGGCACAAGAAGGAGTGGATGGCCCACATTCTCGAAGACTTTGGGGAAAACCTGATAAAAATGATTTGCCTTGTTGTGGCCCTGTAAGACACACATCAGAACGAAACCACCCCCAGTGAGACTGAATTGCTTTTCTATTTTTTTTCCCTAGGGATTTAAGGACTTTCACTTAGATTTCTCTTCATCTAAACTGTGATGGCCTATACTGATCTGATTTACCTAAAATGTCTTTCTTCTCCATTCAGCTCTGTCTGATCTGGAGCTTGTGGCCCAATCAATTATCTTCATTTTTGCTGGCTATGAAACCACGAGCAGTGTTCTCTCTTTCATTATGTATGAACTGGCCACTCACCCTGATGTCCAGCAGAAACTGCAGAAGGAAATTGACGCAGTTTTACCCAATAAGGTGAGTGGATGATGCATGGAGAAGGAGGGAGGAGGTGAAGCCTTAGCAAAAATGCCTCCTCACCACTTCCCAGGAGAATTTTTATGAAAAGCAAAATCATGATTCCTTCACTGACACTGTGTAGGAAGGCTCCAAAAAAGAAAAAGAAAGAAATATAGGGAATGGTTGCTATTGGCAGAAGTATAAGATCTTTGTTAAACAGTCCTGGCCCTGGTTCATCTGCTTTCTGCTATCACAATAATTCTAAATAAAAAACATCCAAAAACCTCAGTGGCATCTAACCATAAGCATTTATTGCTCACAAGTCTTGATAGTGAGCTCCGGTAATATTGGCAGGACTTGCTCTATGCTGGCTGTGGTCTGACAGGGCCTGGCCCTGGGTGCGCTGTGCAGGCTGACTCAGCTCTGCCCCACACCTGTCTCATGTTTCAGTCAGGTAACCACTGGTGAAGAAGCCAAGTAGGAACCAGGGTATCTGACCCCTGAGCTAAACTCTTAAACTCTAGAATAGTGCCTTCCAAATATAACACCAAGTACTAGGTGCATATCAACCGTACAGTTTTCAGAGCTCTGCCAAAACTGGGATTCTTTGTGGTATGAAGAGACACAGCTTTGGGCTGGCCTGGGTGTGGCAGTGAGATGAACACAAAGGGATGTTCTTCAGAGATTACAGTTCAGCCCTGGAGCAACAACTAGGAGACTGTTTCAGCAAGTGAGGATAGGGCTGTGTGGGGTTCTATCCTCTTTATAATTTCCACTAGCACTGAAATCATGTGCTCTGGTAACATCCAATCAGAACCTTCTTTTGTCATATTTGGGATAGAAGGGACTAGTTGTCCTCAAATTATTGATAGAGATTTTATATAATATAGTGTTTCTCTCCACATTTTATGTATATAACAAAAGTCTTGTGTGTGTATATGTGTATGTATACATTTGTATTGTGTATATGTGTGTATATATATACGTGTGTGTATATATGTATATATATTCATGTGTACATATATACACACACATATATACAATACAAATCCTGCTTAGTAGCTGTTTTTGTTTGTATATGTAACAAAAAGAATTATGAAGCAGGACTCTGACCAATAGTCCTTGTATGGCACAGAGAATTTGCTTTTAATATCTCTTTTCACTTTCTTGGTTACAGACACGTGATCTCTTTTTTGAAAGGTGACAATCACTTTGTCATATTTTATCTGATGCTAATGCTCATAGCCTATTAGTCACGTTTGTTTCCATGAGAAAGAAAAACCACTAGACGGTTATGCTAAGGATTTCTGCCCCTGGAATGAGAACCGTCCCGAATGTCTCCCACTTTCATAACTCCTCCACACATTACAGTGGGCCGTTGAGCACATCAATGGGCATGACAGTTATTAAAACAATTTATGAATGTTATGATCCTTTACCAGTATGAGTTATTCTCTGGAGCTTCTGAAATGTCAACAGTACTGCGTGGACTGAGTTAAAAGTTAATTCAAAATCTCAGTTTATCCAAATCTGTTTCTTTCTTACCAGGCACCACCCACCTATGATACTGTGCTACAGATGGAGTATCTCGACATGGTAGTGAATGAAACGCTCAGATTATTCCCAGTTGCTATGAGACTTGAGAGGGTCTGCAAAAAAGATGTTGAAATCAATGGGATGTTCATTCCCAAAGGGGTGGTGGTGATGATTCCAAGCTATGTTCTTCATCATGACCCAAAGCACTGGACAGAGCCTGAGAAGTTCCTCCCTGAAAGGTACAAGGCCACTGGGAAAGCAGTCCTCCCTGAACCAGCCTGGTTCAAGCATATTCTGCCTCTCTTAATCTACAGGACAGTCATGGTCTTGTACAATCATTTGCTTGTCTTTTTATTTTTAAAAGTTTTTTTTCATGAAATTGATCATTGTCACACTGTACAAACCATAGACTAGATAAAAGAAAACTACAACCACCCACAGTTCCAAAAACTTAAAATGAAGGTCATCAGTTATGTCCTTATGGGCCATAAGTGTTCAAAATATAAGGACTCTTTTAAAAACACATGATCACAATGCTATTATTATGTCCCAGAAATGAATATTTTTTCTTAATATAATCAAATATTTAGGAATCAAGTTTGAATAAAAAACATGGGTCTAATCTTCAAAGAATTTATAGCTTAGTGGAACAGATAGACAAAGAAAGCAGTGATGATACTGCTTTGCACTGGTACAGTAGCATCATACACTCATGTACATTATCTGACTTCAACTATTCTATGGAGGTGTGGGGGAGAAAGAGGGAGAGAAGGAGAGAAGAAGAAGGAGCATAAGGAGGAGAGGAGGGATAAGACAAGGCAGGGAGGAGAAGGAGGAGAATTAGAAAAACAAGAGAGGAGATGAGAAGGAAAGTGCAAAATAACAATTTTGAAATAGTGCAAGACAATTTCTTCTTCTCCTTCCTCATGACCAATATAAATGTATCTTGAGGCAGGAATCTACTTTGCCATCAGTCTCATCACTTATGTGCCTTTATAGTGTGAACACATAACCACCCTGAATATAATCTGAGTGTTTAGAAATAAATATTCTTTGCAACACTATTTATCTCCTCTCAACAAGACTGAAACCTCCTATAGTGTAACGGGAGTAGAAAGGATCTATAGCTTACAATTCTCATAGTAAAATAAGCATAGCAGGATTTCAATGACCAGTCCACAAAACTATCCTGTGTACTACTAGTAGAGGAGTGGGCCCTAAGTAAGAAATCATAACATGTAACTCTTAGGGGTATTATGTCATTAACTTTTTAAAAATCTACCAATATGGAACCAGGTTCAGTAAGAAGAACAAGGACAACATAGATCCTTACATATATACACCCTTTGGGAGTGGACCCAGAAACTGCATTGGCATGAGGTTTGCGCTCATGAACATGAAACTTGCTCTAATCAGAGTCCTTCAGAACTTCTCCTTCAAACCTTGTAAAGAAACACAGGTCAGTCAATTTTCTGCATAAATAATGTTTTCTTAAGAATTATTTTAACTGAAGGGTCTACATATTTAAAAAAGAACACACTCATTTAATCTTCTACTAATTTGTTCTATGGGCCAAGGAATCTATTTGGGCCCATCTGTGATCTTTAAGGGTCCTTCAGTTCTGGCGGTAAAAAGCTGTAGCATTAAAAACATCATGTAACATCAATGTAGATTAGCATGGCATGACTATCTGCAGTCTCCTTGAATTTCAGCAAGGTTTAAATTCAGTTTCAAGTCAATAGGAAAGATGGGGAAGTATTTTGCACAATCACAAAGAGCAATTACTATCTTGTTTTCTCTTTTGAATGGTGCTATTCCTTCCCAGAACTTGTAGAAGCCCTCTCATTACAGTGGCTCCCAACCACTAGCTGTACATTGGAATCACCAGTGAGCTTTAAAAATTCATGATGCCTGGGACATCTCAGAAATTCTAAACTAATTTGCCCACAGTGTGGCTTTAAAAGCTCCCCAATTGCTTCTCATGTGAAGCCAAGGTGGAAAATGAGTAAGGTATTTCTACTGGATATGAAGGACTACCACAGTCCAAGGCCATCCTTACTGACCTTACCTTCCAGTTGCCTAGCTCTATCCAACTGGACTCCTTTTCAACCCAATTATAACTCTATTAATCTTCTTCCCTTTCTTCTCCTCATTCTGTTCTTATCTTTCAAGACCTAGTTCAATTCTCAAGCTCTCCAAGGTGTCTTCTCGACCTAGTCCAGGGCTCATTTACTCCTCTGCTCTGTTATTTGTTACTGGAGACTATTATCATATAATTTCATAATTTGCCATTAAATCATTGGGTTTTCTTCTCTGTATTTTCTCTGTGTCTAAGAATCTCTTCCCCCGATCCATTAACAATATCTTGTCATTTTGTTCCTTTTAAAATATCCCAGTGGTGCCTTGCAAGCGACCTAATCTAATTCAAGCATTTGGTCATTTGGTAAATGTTTAAGGAGGGATGTGCAGTTGATTGGCTTGCATACAAATATTAAGTTTTTTAATGTGAACACTTAACAAATGACATTCATGTATTTGCATGTGTGTTTGTGCTTGCACATGTGCACGTGCCTGTCTGCCTGCAGGGAAAATATATTCATGCCTTTTGGAAAGTTTTAAATAATAAATATTATATTTATAAAAAGATTTGGGATCTTTTCTCTGAAGAAATTAAAGAACAGATGTCATTTATTCATATTAAGCAAGACCCTATAAATCTTATTTCTAGGTCTCATGTATTTATTAAGCAATTCCACCCCTTAAGCAGGTTTTCTACATAGGAGAGGAAAAAGATAGAGATGATTTCCATATTACCTCCATATTCCACATTATTTGTGGCTTTAGGCCAGCTATGTAGCTATCCTGCATGTGTGCTCAGACAGGGGACACAGCCCTGAGAGAAAGTAGTCCTCTGGCACACCTGGGATGGGAAAGGTACTCACTTGTAAGTTTCAAGATAGCACTTCTGGATCTCCATGGCAATTTTTTTGCCCATCACTCCATGGAGATCAGAATATCACTCTGTTGTGTTCCCTCAACACTGAAGCAGTGTTTGTCTCCATAAGAATGGGGCTAAAAGTTGAGTCAAAACACTGTAAGAATTGAGAGGTTCCCCACTTGCACTACCCTTGGAAACTAAGAGAAAATGTTAAAAAATAAAATGATGATGCTTCCTGAAGGCGTCTTCCCATCTTTACACTAGATGGGTTCCATTGGGAGGAATTACTGGACTCTGGAAGTTGAAGACTGTCCATATAAGTAAAATGTACAATAACTACTCAGGATTACCTTGCAAGTTTCAACATACACAAAATTAACTTTATATGACTCTTCAAAAATAGTTTGCCATCATGCCTAATGATCTGATTTAAATTTTTAAAACTCATCCATTTTACTTAAAATGTAAATCAAAAAGAACATGGATTCCCATGAATTTGTCTGAGGTCAGGCATTGCACAGAATAGGTGCTCCATAAATATTTTGTTAAATGATAGATGATGAATGCTCTCATTATACAATCTTCACACATCTTATAGAGTAAGTATAAGGAATCCAAGATTTATAATACTGAAAGTAGTTTTTATATGTTTACAAAGCATTATTGTCATTAATGCATTTTTTTACTTTGATGCTATACTTTCTACTTTTGCTTTATTTAATGCTACTCAATATGCTTATTTAACTGTTGCAGATCCCCCTGAAATTACGCTTTGGAGGACTTCTTCAACCAGAAAAACCCATTGTTCTAACGGCTGAGTCAAGGAATGGGACCGTAAGTGGAGCCTGATTTCCCTAAGGACTTCTGCTTTGCTCTTCAAGAAAGCTGTGCCCCAGAACCCCAGAGACTTCAAATTACTTTGTGAATAGAACCCTGAAATGAAGATGGGCTTTATCCAACGTACTGCATAAATAACTAGGGATTCTCTACATGTATTGAGCTCTCTCACAGTGTATATAGAGTGTTATACTCGGTAATGTAAAGGAGATGACCAAATCAGTGCTGGGGAAGTAGATTTGGCTTCTCTCTTCTCATAGGACTATCTCCACCACTCCCAGTTAGCACCATTAACTCCTCCTGAGCTCTGATAACAGAAAACATTTCTTAAAAACTTCATCCACAATCATTAATGAAAATAACAATTATTTTGATGGCTCTAACAGTGACATTTATATCACATGTTATATCTGAAGTATTCTATACTAAGTTTTATATTAAGCAAATCAACAAAAACCTCTTTACAAAAGTATTATCGTATGCTTTCCTGCACATTAAGGAGAAATCCATAGAACTGAATGACTGAGAACCAACAAGTAAATATTCTGATCATTGTAACCACTGCTGATGTGGGGTCTTTGTCAGAACTCCAGTTTGATTATTAACATAGGAGAGAGTTAATCCACTGTGACTTTGCCCATTGTTTAGAAGGAATATTCATAGTTTAATTATGACATTTTTGACCAGGCACAGTGGCTAACACCTGTAATCCCTGTACTTTGGGAGGCCATGGTGGGTGGATCACCTGAGGCCAGGAGTTCGACACCAGCCTGACAAACATGGTGAAGGCCCATTTCTACTAAAAATACAAAAATTAGCTAGGCGTGGTGGCATGTGCCTGTCATCTCAGCTACCTAGGAAGCTGACGCAGGGGAATTGCTTGACCCTGCAGTGAGCCGAGATCACAGCACCACACTCCAGCCAGGGTGACAGAATGAGACTGCATCTCAAAAAAAAAAAAAAAAAAATTATGTCTTTTTGTAGCACATATATTTTGTAACATACAACTGAAGCCATTATTATATCATTAGTTTCGATATAATGTTTTCAGCCCATCTCCCCTCATATTTCTGGGAGACAGGAAACGTTTTCTTACACCTCTTGCATTCCGTCCTCAACTCCCAACTGTCTTAATGCAAAGAACACTTAATAAAAAACAGCTGATTGGTCAATTGATTGGGCAAAATGGCTAAAAGTACTCATTCCTTTTCTTTTCCTATTTCTTCCTTTATTTTCCCTTTTGAATAATTTAGTCCCAGAGCCATTAGGTGGGTGGCAGCCAGATGGTGGCCACACATTAAGGTAGAGAAGAGAGTCATGGTGGTTCCAAGTCAGAGACCAAGTAGGATGAGGACCAAGTGGGTGTCCATGTGGAAACAGCCTGCCTGGGTGTGGGAGTTCAAGCAAGCAGAGAAAGGGTCCACACAGAGGGGTGGCCTGCAAGAGCAGCCAGAGCCTATATATGGCATGGAGAACCCACACGAGGTGAGGAGGGCATCCATGAGTGGGAAGGGATGGGCAAGGTTTGGCTACATAAAAGGAATTGATCAAATATGTAAATATATTATGGATGATGGAAGCCAGGCTTCTTACCTTTGCAGAAGGGAGTCATGGATTCAGAAAGGGAGAAAACCAGCATGAATCCTGTGAAATTAGATTGGAGTGGAAGTATTCGTGTATATTCATACTCTTCTAGATAGATAGAGGTTTAGATAGGTAATAGATAGATAACAGATCAATGACAGATATAGACATAAATGTATACATGTTTTTGTGTGCATGTACAAAAAAAAAACCCAAATATTTCCTAGTTCTCTCCACTGATAGGGCTAGGTGACAATGACATTTCAATAGCAATGAGCACACTTAGTGCCAAGATCTTGGCTTATGAATACCGTTTTCCACTGAAGGGAACCAGAGCTCTTTAGAGAAATGCCTGATTCCAGGGCCAGGGTTAAGAATGTTCAAGATAAGCCTAGGACACATTTTGTGCCAGGAAGCAAGAAAATGTTCAAATGATTTCCAAGTAATGTTTGGAAATGATATTTGAAAAAGTCTTCCAAATGATAATCCCAAATGATTTCCAAATGATACTTGAAAGAAACGTATAGACTCGACCAAAGAACTATTAGAACTGATAAACATATTCAGTAAAGTTGCAGGATACGAAATCAACATACAAAAATCAGCAGCATTTCTGTATGTCAATAGTGAACAATCTGGCAAAAATAAAAAAGTAATCCCATTTACAATACCACAGCTAAAACTAAATATCTAGGAATTAGCTTAATCAAAGAAAAGGGCGATGTCTACAATGAATACTGTAAAACACTGATGAAGGAAAATGAAGAAGACACAAAAACGAAGGACATTATATGTCTACATATTGTAAGAATCGATATAGTTAAAACTGTCCACAGTACTCAAAGCAATGTACAGATTCAATGCAATCTCTCAAAATACCAATGACTTTCATCAAAGAAATAGAGGAAAAAAATCCTAAAATTTCTGTAGAACCATAAAAGACCCAGAACAGCTAAAACTGTCTTCAGCAAAAAGAACAAAACTGGAGAAATCATATTACCTGACTTCAAGTTATACTACAGAGGTATAGTAACCAAAATAGCATGGAACTTGTATAAAAACAGACACATTGACCAATGAAATAGAATAGAGCACCCAGAAACAAATCCACACACCTATAGTTAACTCATTTTCAATATTGTTGTCAAGAACATACACTGGGGAAAAGATAGTCTCTTTTGGAGCTGGGAAAGCTGGATATCAATATGCAGAAGAATGAAACTAGACCCCTATATCTCACCAGACACAAAAATCAAATCAAGGTGGATTAAAGACTGAAATCTGGCTGAGTGCGGTGGCTCATGCCTGTAATCCCAGCACTTTGAGTGGCAGAGGCGGGCGGATCACTTGAGGTCAGGAGTTCAAGACCAGCCTGACGAAAAAGGTGAAACCCCATCTCTACCAAAAAACACAAAAGTTAGCTGGGCATGGTGGGGCATGCCTCTAGTTCCAGTTACTCAGGAGGCTGAGGTGGGAGAATCACTTGGACCCAGGAGGCAGAGGTTGCAGTGAGCCAAAGTCATGCCAATGCACCCCAGCCTGGGCAAGAGAGTGAGACTGTCACAAAAAAATAAAAAGTTGGGGGGTCAGTTCCAAGATGGCCGAACAGGAACAGCTCCAGACTACAGCTCCCAGCGTGAGCGACACAGAAGATGGGTGATTTCTGCATTTCCAACTGAGGTACCAGGTTCATCCACTGGGGCATGTCAGACCGTGGGTGCAGGACAGTGGGTGCAGCCCACCCAGCGAGAGCCGAAGCAGGGCGGGGCATCACCTCAGCCAGGAAGTACAAGGGGTAAGGGAATTCCCTTTCGTAGCCAACGGAAACCGTGACACACAGAACCTGGAAAACCGGGTTACTCCCACCCTAATACTGTGCTTTTCCAGGGGTCTTAGCAAACAGCACACCAGGAGATTATATCCTGTGCCTGACTCAGAGGGCCCCAACCCACGGAGCCTCCCTCATTGCTAGTGTGTCCGGAATGGTGGGTTCTTGGTCTCACTGACTTCAAGAATGAAGCCGCAGACCCTCACGGTGAGTGTTACAGTTCTTAAAGATGGTGTGTCCGGAGTTTGTTCCTTCAGACATTCAGATGCATCTGGAGCTTCTTCCTTCTGGTGGGTTCATAGTCTCACTGTCAGGAGTGAAGCTGCAGACCTTCGCTGTGAGTGTTACAGCTCATAAAGGCAGCGTGGAACCAAAGAGTGAGCAGCAGCAAGATTTATTGCAAAGAGCGAAAGAATAAAACTTCCATGGTGTGGAAGGTGACCCGAGTGGGTTGCCTAGCTGGCTGGCTGGGGCAGCCTGCTTTTATTCCCTTATCTGATCTCACCCACATGCTGCTGATTGGTCTGTTTTACAGAGAGCTGATTGGTCCATTTTGACAGAGTGCTGATTGGTGCACTTACAATCCTTGAGCTAGACACAGAGTCACAGAGTGTTAGCTAGATACAGAGTTAGCTATATACAAAGTACCAATTGGTGTATTTACAAACCCTGAGCTAGACACAGAGTGCTGATTGGTGCCTTTACAATCCTTGAGCTAGACACAGAGTCACAGAGTGCTAGTCCTCCAAGTCCCCACTAGGTTAGTTAGATACATATTCACAAAACTTGAGCTAGACACAGAATATTGATTGTTGTATTTACAAACCCTGTACTAGACAAAGAGTGCTGATTGGTGCACATACGATCCTCCCACTAGATATAAAAGTTCTCCAAGTCCCCATCCAGTTCAGGAGCCCAACTGGCTTCACCCAGTGGATCCTGCACCAGGGCTGCAGGCGGAGCTGCCCGCCAGTCCCTAGAGCGTTTGCACTCCTCAGCCCTTGGGCTGTCCATGGGACCGGGCAACACGCAGCAGAGGGCAGTGCCCCTGGGGGAGGCTCAGGCTGCCCGGGAGCCCACCACAGGGTGGGAGCTCAGACATGGCGGGCTGCAGGTCTGGAGCCCTGCCCCACCAGGAAGCAACTAAGGCCTGGCGAGAATTTCAGTGTGGCGTTGGCCTGCCGGCACTGCTGGGGGACACGGCACAACCCCCACAGCTGCTGGCCTGGGTGCTAAGCCCCTCACTGCCCTGGGCCTGCGGTGCCCGCCATCCTCTCCGTGCGCCAGGTCAGCTGCACCTGCAGGGCCAGCCGCGCCCACGCCTGCCTCGGGAAACTCACACCGGCCTGCCAGCGCAGCCTTGGTTCCCACCGGCGCCTCTCCCTCCACACCTCCCTGCAAGCAGGGGGAGGAGGCTCTGGCCTCAGTCAGCTTAGAGAGGGGCTCCCAGGGTGCCCTGATGGGTTGAAGGGCTCCTCAAATGTAGCCAAAGTGGAAGCCGAGGCCGGAGGCACTGAGAGTGAGGGTTGCTAGCATATTGTCACCTCTCACTAGCACAGCAGTCTGAGATCTAACTGCAAGTTGGCAGCAAGGCTGGAGGAGGGGCGTCTGCCATTGCTGAGGCTTGAGTAGGTAAACAAAGCCTCTGGGAAGCTCGAACTGGGTGGAGCCCACTGCAGATCAAGGAGGCCTTCCTGCCTCTGTAGACTCCACCTCTGGAGACAGGGCATAGCCAAACAAAAGGCAGCAGAAACCTCTGCAGATTTAAATGTCCCTGTCTGACAGCTTTGAAGAGAGTAGTGGTTCTCCCAGCATGGAGTGTGAGATCTGAGAACGGACAGATTGTCTCCTCAAGTGGGTCCCTGACCCCCAAGTAGCCTAACTGGGAGGCATCCCCCAGTAGGGGCAGACTGACACGTCACACGGTCGGGTACCCCTCTGAGACAAAGCTTCCAGAGGAATGATCAGACAGCAACATTTGCTGCTCAGCAATATTCACTCTTCTACAGCCTCCACTGTTGATACCCAGGCAAACAAGGTCTGGAGTGGACCTCTAGCAA